ACACACACACACACATACACACACACACACTCTCACAACTAACACACACACTCACATACACTCACAACAAACACACACACACTCTTACAACAAACACGCACGCAAGCACACTCACAACACAAAAAAACTCTGGCACAAACACACACTCACAACAAACACACACACACACTCCGTCAGACATACACTCTCTCTATTTGTCTTACAAACAAAAGCAAACACTCCCACTCCTCTGCTCTCTCTCTCTCTCTCACACACACACACACACACACACACACACACAGTTGTCGATAGGGGTGTGTGAGCTGCAGTGTGTGTTTGAGGAAGCTGCAGTGAACATCACACACACACACACACATCATGTTTAATCATGGCTTCTTTATTTGGCAGAGAAGATCAACACACACTGAACATGTGTGTGTGTGTGTGTGTTTTGGCACGTGACTCCAGTCTTCAGTGTGTGTGTGTGTGTGTGTGTGTGTGTCGGCAGTGGTCTGTGCTCCTCCATGGTATGTACAGTATATACAGTATATTTACAGTGCACTGCTGCATTGTGGGTGGTGTTCACAGCAGGCAGATCAGACTCTTGCCCTCCTGGATCTCCTCCTGCACTTTATCGCTGGACGTGGCGATCTCGGCCTGAGCGGAGAACACGGCGCAGAGGAAGCAGAGCACCGTCCCGGCCAGAGCCGTGTAGAAAGCCCAGCCGGCAGAGCACAGGCCCAGACGGTACGGGGACGAGTCCGGCCCGCAGTACAGCTGCACCTTCTGAGAACCCCAACCTGCCGGGTACAGCACCAGCCCCACGATCAGGAACAGACCTGCACACACACACACACACACACACACACACACACACACACACACACACACACACACACACACACACACACACACACACACACACACACACAGAGACACACACCATTTATATCTGCATGAATTTTATTTCAGTACTATTAATAAATTTCACACACAAACACACACACACACACACGAACAAACAAACACAAACAAACACACACATACACACAAACTAACACTAACACAAAAAACACACAACCAAACATACACACACACACAAGCAAAGACATACACACATACATAAAACACACAAAGACAACAAACACACACAAAGACACAGACAACAAACAAGCACACAAGCACACACAGGCACACACACACACACACACACTAAGTCACAGACAAATAAACACACACAAAGAAACACACACAAACACACACACAAAAACAGATAAACACACACAAATACACAAACAAATACACTAACATGCACAAAGTAACACACAAAAACACACAAACAAACACACACAAACACAAAAACATAAACAAAACACACAAAAATAAACACAAAAATACACACAAATACAAACACAGATAACACATAACACACACAAAGACACACACAAATACAAACAAACACACACAAAAAGAAACACACACAAACACACACACAAACAAAATATACAAAACACACACAAAAATAAACAAACACACAAACAAGCAGACACACACAAACGCATATTACTAATCATTCGCATGTTTAAGTTAGTTTTGTTTGATACTGTTAAAAATATGCATACAAACACACACACACACACACACACACACACACACAGGGCCAGTCTAATGAAAGAGCCATCCATATAAACAGGAAGTGACCATTTGACTGACAGCTGAAGTGACCAATCACAACAGGTCAAATGTGTTGACAATTACAATCCAGGCTC